ATCCAGCACAGGTCTGGAGCTGTTGTGTCCGGAGATTGTTTTCAGACTCCTCCAGACACCACTGACATCCTTCTGCTGCAGCTGTTCCTCCATCCTCCTCCTGTAGCTGCCCTTCCCCTCTCTCATCTTCTTCCTCAGTTCTCTCTGCACAGCTTTCATCTGGTCCCTGTCCCCCAGCTTTCAACCCTCCTCTTTTCCTTGAGGAGGGTCTTAATGATCCTTAATGATTAAAGATCACCTTTTTATTTCTTAAATACAAGGGTAATTTTAATAGATATTTAGTATTTTGTTTAAAGGTAACCTTCAACCCAGCGTCTTTTTCTTTTTGGAGTTAAAAATGTTTTTGTTGCAGAAATAAAGTTTTGTTTTCTCTGTAGCAGTTCATTGATTTCATAAATGCAACACACTAGTTTTTTTTATACACAGCATAAAGGTAAAAACGACATATGCAGTGCTATCTTAATTTTAGATTTCAAAGGGGTTTTGTGGCTCCCAGTGTTTTCTTTTCCATGGGAAACGGGTCCAAATGGCTCTTTGAGTGTTAAAGGTTGCCGACCCCTGGGCCAGATGGTCTCTTTTCTTTGGTTGTTTTGACTTTGTCCTCTCGTTTCATCCTGGCTCCAAAAATATTAAACCAGACCCTCTCTCACGTGTTCATGGCCCGGACAACTCCAATCAGGCTCCCAAAACCATTTATTTCTGCCCTCTCTTGGGGAGTTGAGGATAAGGTCAAAGTGGCCATGGCCAATGTTCAGCTTCCCCCAGACTGTCCTAGGGACAAACGTTTTTGTGGTTCCTGAACTCTGGGGGGAGGTTATTCACTGGGGACACACCAACAAGGTTGCTTGCCATCCAGGGATCCGCAACACTCTGTCGGTGGTACAACAGCGTTTTTTGTCGCCCACAATGAAAGATGATGTTACTGAGTATGTTAACGCTTGTACTGTCTGTGCCGTGTTCAGAGTGTCCCATCAGAGACCACAAGGGGAACTTCAACCTCTCTTGGTGCCCAAACGTCCTCGGTCACACATCTCCTTGGATTTCCCTCTCTCTGATGGTAACACTGTGGTTTTAACAGTTGTAGAAAGACTTTACAAAATGCTGCATTTCATTCCACTCCCCAAGCTTCCCTCAGCCAAAGAAACAGCTGAGGCCCTCATCAATCACATTGTCAGGATCCCAGGATTCCTGCCTTTTTAGGATCCTCTGCCTGACTGACTGATCTCCTGTGTACCAAACTCTACCCAGTAATAAACCTGCCTTTCTGCCTGAACCTGTTCTGTTTCGTCCATTTGTGTCCACCTGTTCTGTTCCAAGTGAGTTCTTGACAGAAACATGTTCATTGTGCCTATATTTGGTATCTTTGTTTTCAGCAAACATCATCTATCTGACCTAATGTTTTTTCACTTTAACCTACTTTATTAACATTTTGCATCCAGAAACACACAGAAAATTAAAATCCGATTGGAAAAAAAATATTACAATAAAAAACACAAACATCCTGAACTAAGCATTTTGAAAGTTGAAAATGTGCATATAGGTTGCAGACATGAACATGAAAAAGCAAATTTGATATAAAATCAAACTAAATACAAATATTTGCAGCTATATACCAAACAGGTGAGGCTTCCTCTGTCTCTATCTGTGATCATAGTTTCTGTCCAGAGTGAGGCAGACAGACACATTACAGGACCTGCACGTCCAGGAACTTTCTTTCACTTTCATTTTGTAAAACGACAAAAAATGACGAAGTTGTTGAAAGAAATGCGACGCAGGCGACGCATATTCCAAATGCTTATGTTTTACGCAAGTTTTTTTTTTTTTTAACGCACATTTATAGCATCATATTTCCGGTCTTATGTAGTCTATCGACGTGAAACAAAAACTGGTAAAGAGCTTAAAGTCTGCACTTCAAAGTGAGATTCATCGCATCACCGTACGTGCGCTAGTTTTTTCTGCCCTCTCGAAAATGTCATATGATAATATCAAGCCGGCGGGACGGCGGACCTCTAAGGGTTAAAATGTAGTTTTTATGGATTATTTTTATAATACTATATCCGCTTGAATTTAGTTTTAAATTAACCAACGCGGAAGTTTGCGTTTAAATCACACACACACTTTATTCCGTTAATGCAATAACACACATTATTGTGTCGACGTCAAAAGTAATGTTTTCAACTTAAAAGGCTTCTGAACATCAGCCTTTTTTTTCTTTTTTTTTCTTGCAACCATGCATTTAATTAGGTGGTAGGAATAGTTCTCTTGAATCACTTTTTAGAGTGCAACAGCTGTATTTTCCCATATGTCCTCTTTTTTTGTTGCTTGTAAGTTTGCGTTGTCTTATTTTGAAGCGCTAGCAGGAAGTGCTTCGCTCTCACTACGTGCAGCTTCATAAAATCAGCGGCTGCATGATTGCATCAGTTCGGGCAAGTGTCACTCCAGTCTCCATCGGTGCTGAAGCTAATAGAAGATCACGGTAAGAGGATCAGCTGCTACTAACTGTGTCGGCTGATAGTGTCTTCAGATTTCTGCGAAGTGGCAAGAAACTGTGACTTCCTCTTGAATGAAGTTTCGGCTTAAAAAAAAAACTCACATTTGAATGTATTGTAATTTATAATAATTTTAAAAATATACGCGTGCATAGGAAATAGTTGCTGACCGTTTCCTGGTTTAATAAGTTGTGAATGAAAATTGGGCTTCTATTTGAGGAGCCCAGCAGCACCTGGTTTCCTGCAGGATGTTTCGTGTCGTTGCCAACCGGCGACCAGCGCCGTCAACTGTAGGATGATGGAGGGAATACATGTTCAACCATCCACACATAATGTAGTGAAGAAAGACACACATGGTGTGTGCCGAACTGAACAATGAAACGTTAATGCTTTTTGAGAGGTGCTCATGAATTGTTAGCTGTTAGCTGGAGCGAAGCATGTTATGAATTTGTAGGATTTTGAATGGAGTTCGGCGTGAGAGCTGCAACGCTCACCAAAACAGCTGTTCCATTTAAGAAGTCTTTCACTGTGCACACTGAATGAGTTAGTTCTAATATTTGAGTATTCATATATTCACACTTGAGCTTTAAAAAAACCCTTTAATTAATTAGTTTTTTTTAAACAACAAAGTGCTTGAGTTAAAGTTTAGTTTCAAAGCAGGACAGAAAACCAGCCGCTTCATCATCTGTCAAGATTTGATGCATTAGTATTGAAAGTACAGGATTTTCTATAATATGAACAGAAACAATGACAGAAAATTTAAAGCTTTTAAAAGCTTTATTTACAGACACAGCCAGCTTCTATAGTGAATTCACTGTTTGCCTCCTGTGCTGTTCTCAGCTCAACACATTGCTGCTGTCGGGTCAAACTTCTCCTCTGTAATCTGTGGGGAGTCAGGTTTGATGATCAGCCCGTCCTCACTGCATCAGCTTTCTGTTTTCACTCAGAGTTTGGATTTCTGTTACCCTGCGAGGTATGTGAGTACAAAAGTCTGCTGTGTTACAGAGTCCTGTGTAGAAGTAACTTTATCTCAGCAAGTCACCGTCACCTCCTCCGTCTGGGTTCAGGCCCATTGTGGTGCTGGGAAATAAATCTGAGTAAATCAGACTACATTCTAATTAGCCAGTCATATTTTTTATTTTTATTTATTTTTTACCTTTCTGCAGGCTTTTCTTGCAATCTAAACTTGGGATCTGTGTTGAACTATTGTTTTTTGGCGAATAAGCACTTTTTGGCACTGGACAGAAGTAATGGAGGCAGACACTTTTTATTTTAATATAAAGGTGGTTATTCTGAGGGTGGCACAATGCTTTTTCATTCTTTATTTTTTAATATTTTCAGCATATGGCTGTAGGTCTTATTTGAGTCGTTTTCTTACACCTGTCATGTGAAAATACATGAGAACTCACATGCAGTCTCACAAGCATTTCCATGTAACCCTTAGTTAACTAAAATCCAGAATGGCTGCTTGAGTTATGCTCTTTAATTTGTTGATGAAGCTCACAGGCGTTTCATATGATCATTGCAAATGAAATTGCATCAGGTAAGTACATGTACAACTTTTATTGGTGGAATGAAGGGGCAGCCATGACTCAGGTGTGAGAGCAGGTTGTCCACTAATTACATAGCTGGCAGCTCCTCCAGGGGCCACACTGGCAGGGCAGGACGCTGAAGCTCAAGTTACTTCTGATGGCAGGCGAGCATCTTGCGTGGCAGCTCCATTGTGAATAAAAAACACTTGTAATGACTCAGGTTAAAAGTTAGAAGGTGCTGTGTTTGGTGCAGATCAGTCACAAACTGCTATTCATGTCAGTATTGTCCTTGTCCAGCTCACGACATCGACCAGGTTGAGACATCAGACTGTGTCCATTCTTTAATTTCTCTGTTTTGGCAGCAGGTTCTGGCTCAGTCTGACATTGTTCAGCAGTTTGAGTTCTGTGATGTAGGTTTGCAGGCTTTAAGAGTCAAAAGCTTCAACTAAATCCAAAGCTACGTTTAAATCACACACACTTTAACTAATAGAACATATACAGACAGATTCCTTGATTTATGCATAAAAACAAAAGCACTTCTCAGTACTTTTCAATGACTTTACACTTTTCAATGACAGTCAGACAAAAGATTTGAGTTGCTACAAAATCAGTGTTAATGTTTCGTGGTAGGTTAGAGCTACTTGGTTGTCTGTGTTTCAATGCTTTGCAGCTGTGTTATTAAAATGCACGTGTAAGTGGAGAAATGGTTTCATTAGAAAAAGTTCTGCTAGAAAAATGGTACTTAGTGGATGTAACTCCCGTTCTCTCTGTCGGGCTTCACTGTTGGTCCCTCTGGCTACACTTATTGAACATTTCAGATTATTTCATTGTCTAGGTAGAAACTGCAAACTCATCACTCTCTGTTTTTCTTCTGTCCATCCTCCACAGCGGTGAAATGTGTGGTATCTGGGCCTTGTTTGGCAGTGATGAGTGCCTGTCCATTCAGTGCATGAGTGCCATGAAGATCGCTCACAGAGGTCCTGATGCCTTCCGCTTTGAGAATGTCAACGGCTTCACCAACTGTTGCTTTGGCTTCCACCGTCTGGCGATTCTGGACCAGCTGTACGGCATGCAGCCCTTGCGCATCAAGAAGTTCCCTTTCTTGTGGCTCTGCTACAACGGAGAAATCTACAACCATACCCTGGTAAGCTGCTGTTGTGAAATGTCTGATGAAACACTCTTTGGTTTGTTCTCTAACCACAGACAGTTGCTACGTAGCTGAACACTTTAGCCTAGATAACAGTTTATTTGTGACAAATTTAAAAACAACACATGTGGAATAAAGGCATTTTTATTAAATAAAACAGCTTTTCAGGCTCAGATTTGGTGATTTTTAGCTCAGATTTTGGTTCTCATGACAGAGTTGAACATCCACAAATCCTTTCTGTTTCTGGCACTGAAACAGTGTGTAGTAATTATAATGATTATAGTTTATAGATCAGGCAACACTGCAAAGTAAACTCCTGCTAAGCAACACATTCTGGTATAAACCAGATCTCTGTAGACTTGTACAGGCAAACAAAAGTCACCAGTTCACCCAGTTTTCACGCTGACACAAAGAGAACATTGCTACCCCTTATTATTGTCATAATCATTTGGGGCAAACATCCTTTTCTCATTTGAAGTATCGCATCAGAAAAAGTGAACGGAAACAGCAAAATTTAAAAAACAAAACTTCCCCAATTTCACAAAAAAGTTTGTGGTCTGTGACTTAATGCTCATAATGGGAGATGGGAACATCATATAACGTAGCAAACAATCATTTAACTCACATGACTGAGTAGCTGTTTGCACTTCTTTTGTTGTCTTCACCTCCGGACAGCATGAAACATAACCAGTATCAGCTGACATGAAAGAATAAATTCAACTTGCATGACTTAAAAACTAGTCCTGAAGACTTCCCTTGTTTATTCTCTCACATATGTCCAATTATTTGTTTTGTTTCTTCTTCTTTGAGGATTGCTTTGTGGCAAACAGCTGCTACTGTTTCTTCTACAGCCATGTGGAACGCAGCCTGTACATTGTGAGAACATTACACAGCCGAGTTTGTTTGATCCAAAGCAGTCAGTGCAAACCAGCCTAATTCCGATTTCCTTTCTTTTTTGGTGACATTTCAAAAGTTTGCTTCAAATTCACCTGAAAGTTACATGAAAACTCAGCCAATGTTTCCTACTCTTGTAAAAACACCACATGTAGCCCTGCTGGTTAATACGCCGGCAAACTGCCTGATGCATCATGTTTAGGCATGTTGGTGACACAACCAACATTTTCTTCTTTAATTAAAGTGCAGCAGTTGTGAGATTGGTTCTAAAAGTGAGAAACAATGCGGACTCTGTTTATGTCGGTTGTTGGGCTCATTGCAACTTTTGCCGTCTTCTTATGACGTCTTTGTATTTCTGGAACTTGTGCATGGAGCCATTGCCTGTACTGGAATGCAACACAGTGGGTTGTCTGTATGTGTGAGAGAATTAAAAGTGGCTCTAAAACACACTACATAAGCCCTGAGAACGTCTTTCCAGTTAAACTCGGCTAACCGCACACTTTAATTGCTGACTGACTCCAACGTTCTCATTGTACAGACTTGAACTCCGCTCGTCGACTCAAATCCAAATAAAAGCTTTAACCGAGCCAGAAGGTTTATAGAATACCACCGTGACACTTACGCACACTTTTTGAAACCTGAATTCTGGAAACGTGTCGTCATATTCGGTTAAGCACAAAATTATTTAAAACTCATGGCAAATTTTAATTTTTAGGGAATTTAAATTTTATTAGTGGGTTTCTTCTGACGGGAAACGACAAGTAAGTGACAGCAAGACACATGTTCATGATAAATGCAAGAGGTGTTGGGGTGAGGATTATTTAAAAATGTATTTTACATTTTTACTAAAATATGTATACAATTGTAAGATATTTTTTGGGGAAAAAAAGACAATTCAGTCCTATTCCAAATGATAATTTGGTAATGCTGCTCGTGTCCACCATGTTCCAGACCATTCTTGAATTATTGAATTTCCCTTCTGGGATAAATAAAGTATTTTTCATTTCATTTCATTTCATTCTAATACACTGCTAATCATTCTCTAGTCACAGCGAGTTATAATAATTGCAAGTCACGGCTAAAACCTAAGTGAAGGGAGCTTGCTTTTATGTTCCATCAGTGAGAGAGTGTTGCACATCGATGCTGCTCACAAAACATGGAAAGGCTTTAAAGTCATACAAAGAGTTTTCAAGTGCAAGTGACCACAACGCAAAACATAAGAAAAAAGTTTAAGGAGTTTCCCACTGTGGAAACTCTCAGGTTGACCTGTTGGCTGGCTAGAAGAGCAGTGTGTGAAGCTGAGAGGTGTTCAACCATCACCATCACCATCACCATGGCCGTCCTGATGAATCTGAGCAATTCTTGTACCAACGTCTCAAGCGGACACTCCAGCAGACACAAGACTGGTCTCCATGGATGCTCACAAAAGAAGACTCTCCAAGACAAGCAAACAAAGACTTTCACAGAGAAGCATTCAGCAGCAACAATGCCATCCTAACCATCCCCATGGTCAAGCATGGTGGAGGAATGCAGCGCTTTGGTGGAGTTTTTAAACTGACTGAACAAGCAACCTAAGCAACGTAAACAGGCATCGAGGCATCACAGGGGCAGAAGGACAACATTGAGATTGTGGAGGAAAACATCAGGCAGTCTGCAGATAGAGCTTGTCCTTGGGGCAGCACTGGACCTTCCAACAAGACAAACAACCCTTTTTTTTTTTCTGCCACAGCAATCAAAAGCTGGCAAATAGAAAACCTTTTTAACATTTTCCAGAGTCCAGAGCTGAATCCCATCAAGAATCTGTGGAAGGAACTGAAGACCAAAATGATGGAAAGGAAGCCTTTAAATCTTAAAGACGGGGGATCTTCACAAGGAGGAACAAAACCACAGTGGAGACATGCAGAAAGATCTCTAGCAATTACAAGAAATGTGTATCTGATGTCACAATGTCACGTTTGTCTCCTGCAGTGCTTTTAGTGATTGAGAAATATGAAGTTTGATGTGAGAAAAAGCTAAAAATAACCTTGTATGTGCTTCTTGTTCTTTCAGCTGAAGAAGAAGTTTGAATTTGATTTCCAGACCAAAATGGACGGTGAGATTTTGCTCCATCTCTATGACCGGTTTGGCATCAAGAAGATGGCTTCTATGCTGGACGGTGTCTTTGCTTTCATTCTGCTGGACACTGCCAACAGGAAGGTCCTTCTGGGAAGAGATACGTATGGTGTCCGACCCTTATTCAAATTCCTCACAGACGATGGGTTCCTTGCTGTCTGCTCTGAGGCCAAAGGTAATGGGATAGTTTATAACCCCTCGTGGATTCTGGCTCTTTTCTAAGCTGGTGATTGCACTGATGAACTCATTACCATTCTGATCACAGGCCTGACACAAATTACTCATGCAATGGCCACCCCTGCCAACATTGTTCCCTTTCTCCCCGGGCACTTCGAGGTCTTTGATTTGAAGCCGAATGGGAAAGTTCAGTCCATTCAGATGGAGCAGTTTCACTGCTGCACACAAGAGCCTGCTCACGCCATCTGTGACACTGTGGACAGACTGCCTACAAGTACGAAACTGTTCTTCACCTTTTTTATGTAGTTGCTTAGCTTTATGTGTCACATTTGTTTTAAAAACAACTGATGTCTCTGCAGGTTTTGAAGAGGAAATGGTGAAAAGCAACATCAGAACCCTGTTTGAGAACGCTGTGAGGAAACGGCTCATGTCTCACAGGAGGATTGGTTGTCTTCTGTCAGGTAACTTCCTCCATAGAAGTGAGCCTCTTTCATGAAATGTTCACATACATACATAAGATTCTTGTATAAAGTAAATGAGTCAAACCATCATGCACTTGCTCCCAGCAAGGGAGGACGAGACATCTGCACCTTTGTGGGTGTGAATAAAAACAACTATGGCGAACACTCACTAACTGGCAGTGATTAGTTGATTGGTAGTAAGATGCGTTTTGATTGAATTATAAGGCATCTGCAGAACATTAAGAACAGGCTGACTTCCCGTGTGAATTGATCTTGTCTGGGTTAGGTGTTATTTAATCATCCAGCAATCGTTTTCCAAAATAGGACAATACATAGTAGTGTTGGGGCTGCATGGTGACCCCAGTTCACGTCTCAGTTAGTTTGCATGTTCTCCCCGTGCAGCGTGGGTTCTCTCCGGGTTCTCCGGCTTCCTCCCACAGTCCAGAAACATGCTGAGGTTAATTGGTGATTCTAAATTGTCCGTCGGCAGCTATTTGTACTAAGATGTGAAATATGATCTGAAAAATCTGTATGTATTGAAAAGTATAGAGTAAAAGAAACTCTGTGTGTCTGTGGTGCACATTCATGTTTTCTGTTGTTCAGGTGGTCTGGACTCCAGTTTAGTTGCTGCTACACTGGTGAAACTGGCCAAAGAGGAGAAGCTGCAGTATCCCATCCAGACATTTTCAATCGGATCAGAGGATAGTCCAGACATCCTCGCTGCTCGCAAGGTCAGTTCATATGATCATGTATCACATTCCCTCATGGCTGGTTACATATGTTTATGGCTGGGCACCGTCAGCAGCCGTAGCAGGAACGTTCTTAGTTTGTCCGTCCATCTCATTCTTATGAATGCAATATTTCAGGAACACCTTGAGGGAATTTATTCAAATTGGGCACAAAATTAACTTGAAGACAAAGATGAACTGGTGAGAATTTGGTCAAAGACCACAGTGAACTCATGTCTGTTCCATTCTTATAAACACCTGGAGGAAATGTCTTTACATGTGGCTCAAGCATCCACTTTGACTAGAGGATGAACTGTTTAGAAATTAGTCGTCAAAGGTCACTGCAGCCACGTGAACACATCCAACAACTTTGCACATCTGTAAGTCTTCACTACAAATATCAGTCTGGACAGACATGGATGAAGCTGCAGTTGGACTGTTTTTCAGAGGCAAACAGCTGCTAGGTGGTAATGAGGCATTTAATGTGGACAAAAGAAGAGTTTTGCTTGTTTTTAGTCACAGTTTGATTTGCATATCATCAGGTGGCAGCTTACATCGGCAGCGAACACCACGAGGTGAACTTCACAACAGAAGAAGGCATCCAAGCTGTGGAGGACGTCATCTTCCACCTGGAGACCTATGACATCACCACGATACGAGCCTCTGTTGGTGAGTGCAACATGAAGCACTGCACGAAATCTACAGCACACAGAAGCTACCAAAACAAGTTCACACCATGACTCAGGATAGCTAAGACCTCATAAAACAACAGTGACCTTTGCCTGTGATTGGAATTCCTGACAGCTGATAACAGCCTTGATTTATCTGTAAGCTGCTCCTTGTGTTTGGTGCCCTGATGAAGACTGTGAGTTAAAACATGAATCCCATTGATTAGAGGCAAAGCAGTATGCCTTGGAATTTTTGACTTATTGATCACATAGTTAGGTACAAGTCTAACTTCTCTTTCCTTGATATTTGTGAAGTAGCTCCTCAACCTACTGGAATTATCCACACTGCCTAAAGGTTTGAGTTCTTTACATTTTTGCAGACTGATCTGTTCACTGATGTGACAAACATGTGGCTGAATATGCTGCATCACCACATTCCTTTTCCTCCTGACTGACTGGTCTGAATTGGAAGTGAATCCAGTGAGCTTAGTAAAATGGTCAAAGAGGTCAGTGGGAGCAGCGTATGGGATTTTAATTGTGCCAACTAACAACACTGTTCATATCTAACTGCAAAAATATCCAATCTTCAAATAAGACAACCAACAGTTTTCCAAAAGACATATAGCATGATCCCAGTCTGATTACGTACATCTACAGTGCTATACAGTCGATGGAGGTGTGCAGACACAAACAGAAAACACTGTCTCAGCCTTAAAAAAAGAAAAAGACCTCACCTAAAAATGAAATTAGGGTTATATAGTAAAGTTGTGTTTTGTCTGCATATTTCTGTATTTTTGAGGATGTGACCACGTTATTTAACATCATCATATTTGTTCATTTGAATATTTTCTGTTGGTTTCACTTCATTTTATGATTTGTTGCAATTTTTTTGCAAAAAATTGTCATTCTTTTATTCTCATACAAAAAGAATTTCGACTAGAAATCTACAACCCTTGATCACCAGTGGAGGGCAGAAATTTCATAGCAGAGCTTTAGTATTATTTAAATAATAATAATAATATAAATTAGGCTTTTATTTTTATACTTGAAAACCTCTTTTGTAGCCATGTTTCTGAGAAACTCGCTTTCACTGCAGCTTTTGAGAATTACCGTTGTGTGGATTGTGGGGCGTCGTCTTTGTTCAGTCAGATGAACTGGGATTAAGGAATTAATTTGTGTTTTTTCCACTGCAGGGATGTACTTGGTTTCAAAGTACATCAGGGAGAAGTCAGACAGTGTGGTGATCTTCTCTGGAGAAGGATCTGATGAGCTGACTCAGGGATACATTTACTTTCATAAGGCAGGTCCTCCAGCAGCCGTTCACTGATCAGTCAAACTACGATCTGAGTAATTTGTTTTTGTTTTGTATTTTTACCTGACATTTTTATTTTGATGAAATTTAAAATATAACATAAAGGTTGGATATTTAAGTAAATAATAGAAATAAAAGTATAGGTGAAATGTGGTGGTGGAGGAGTACACAGAATTCATAGTTTTCTATGTACCTCAGTCAGAAAACACAAGAAATGCACAAATAACTTTCAGACAAATGAAATTATTAGAAGTATTTATTGGTCATAACTGTCCCTGGAACAGTTCAGGCATTAAACACTACATACTGTCAAGTATGAAATATATAAAATTAAAAAATTTTCATTAAGACAAGTGGAACTTATTCATTATCAACTTAAATAATGTTTTAAATCAAACAGTGCAGTTTCATCTCTAGAATTGCTCAAAGTAATTCTACCTTCCTCCTTTTCTGTTAACATAGAACACATAGCAGTCTTGGTTGAACAACCTTTATTAGAATATTGGAACAAAACCAATCAGGGGCTTGCAGGTTTTATGTAGTGTGAGCTCCACAGTTTAGCTGGTCCATTTAGCTGTACAGTGTGAGAAGAGAAGTTGTGGGTTCTGGCTGCAGGAAGCCTCATTAGAACTTGTGGTGTGAGTTAACACGTCATGCAGGAGTTGTAAAAACAACGCAGAGTCTGTAGCTTTAAAGGCTAACCTGCTGCAGGCGTGCTGCGGCTGATGGACAGCTTGTTGCAACTTGAGACTAATGCGTCAACATACAGTCGTCCTCAGATATCTTCATACCATCCCATTAAAGAGGAAAAAAGAACAACTGTCACTGAAATAAGTTGAAATGGACAAAAGTAATAATAATTTAATGAAAATCATGACATTGGTTTTGAATTGTGGTTCAACAGAAATATTGAAAAAAGCAAAACAAACAAAAAAAACAAGCATGATGGGACGCGTAAACTAATATTTTGTTGAACAACCCTTTGAGCCAATCAATGCAATCAATTGTTTTCTGTAACTCAATCAGACTTCTGCACCTGTTGACAGGTAATTTGATTTTGGTCCACTGCTCATCAGCAAAGTGCTCTAGTTTGTCCGGGACAGTTTTTTTGTCTCTTTTTTTTAAAATGATTCTTTTCAACCACAATTCAAAAGCATTGTCTTATTTCACAAAATTATAATTTAGCAAATTTTTATTTGTTATAATTTTTCCAGTTTCTAGTTATTTGAGAGACTGTTGTGAATTTTGCTTTTTCTTTAATGGAAGGGTATGAATACATTTGAGGACGACCGTAAATAGAAATCTGACAGGAGCTGTTAGGGGACAGGAACTAATCCTAAAGGCCTCAGTAGACGGCAGCAAGACTCTTCATGAGTCTTCTTAGAGGCTTCTTCAGTTCAGAACTACAGATGGAGTTTGGAGGCCAAATAATGACTTTGAAGTCCAGAAACAAAACAAGCCACAATAGTCAGGTTCAGTTTTAACACACCAATGTCTGCTTTGTGGCATTAACACCACGATGTTAAATGGATTTAGTTTGGGGTTTACCAAGCAATATAAACATGTGCTCTAAGTGAGTAGAGGAGGCGTATTTGAAACAAGGGAAGAGAGCTGAGACTTCCTGAGGAGAGCATGTTTAAGGTATTCAAGGCAACAGGTGAGAATCTTGTCTTTGCTGACCCCCAGTGGATGAAGCTCTCACTTTGCTGCAGTGATGTACAAGCATGCTTTTACTTATTTGACAGCCCTCAGTAAGATGCAACACCTGGTCTTTGGTGTGTTTATTCGGGGGATGCATTTACAGTTGCACTCCTGAGACTGCTGGAGCACCAGGACAGCTCGAGAATTAGTTGTTTTATAAAGACTTTATTGCATCAGTCTGACCCAAGTCACTAGTTTTCAGCTCTCAGTCATCTTTGGGTTAACCAGACTGCATTCATTTCAGAAAGTGACATAAATGTTCACAAGTCCAACCGAGTAAGACTGCCATGATAAAGGTGTTTATCAGACATAGAGCTAATATCTGACTTCTGAAAGGAGTTGTTTAAAAATGGTCATAGCTGACAGAACTGTTCTTGTCTTCCAGGCTCCAAACGCTAAAGCGGGAGCAGAGGACAGCGTTCGTCTGCTAAAGGAGCTCTACCTGTTTGATGTTCTCCGAGCCGACCGAACCACTGCTGCACACGGGTGAGTCTTCGCTCATAGCCAGAAGAACTTATCCTGAGAACACACAGAAGCAAACTCGCCCTCCATAATACCCTCGAAGCACAAACAGGCAAAAGACATGTATTCAGTTTTCTGAGTGAATTTGAAAAGCTGCAACCAGCATTTTGTCTGATTTAACAACTTAAATGGAATAAAATTGCTGATCTTTCATGTTCTGTTGTTGAAAATCCAACCTGCCTGCATCCTTGTCATCACAGAGAATGTTCCATCAGTTTTATTTTTTATTTTATTTTTCATTTTTGTGTTACTTTTATTCACTAAGTGACTTAATAAATTGGGAAGAAAACCACTTACATAATGGACTGAGATCAGAAATTGCACTAACGAACAGCTTTTATGGGTGCTCGCTTTCAGTCGTCTTCACAAAACATCACAAAAAGAGAAATCTTTTATGAGGGGAAAAAATAATGTGGTCGACGGCAACATGATGGAGGAGCATTAACACCAACATTAATAATGCATTATAATTAAAGGAAGCGTGCTACTGATTAAAACTTTATAAATTAAATCTTAATACTAATGGAAACCCACTGAGGTCATACTGACTATAATGTAAATAAACTGAAATGATTGATAGCCGTGGATACATTATTGTTGTATTTTTTTACCCAAATGTCCCACAATCATCCAAACTCAGTGATCTTATGATGAACTATGCACTTTGTAATGTATATTTCGCTTGTTATTCTTCAGTCTGGAGCTCAGAGTGCCTTTCCTGGACCACAGATTCACAGCATACTACCTTTCGCTGCCTGAGGAGATGAGGATCCCTAAGGTCAGCGCTCATTTCACTGTTCACATCACAGAAGTGATTGTTGGAGGCAGTGTGTTAGTATTGATCTGTGTGTCCTGTGAAAGCAGCATGGAGTGGAGAAGCACCTGCTGAGGGACTCCTTTAAAGGTCTGAACTTGATCCCTGATGAGATCCTGTGGAGGCGCAAAGAAGCCTTCAGTGATGGTGTGATGTCAGTGAAGAAGTCCTGGTACGTTTACCTGCAGGAGCATCTGGAGTCTATGGTAAGAACAAAACCAATTCACTGGACACTAAAGCTGAGCACAGGTGCATTTGATCAGTTTCATGCTGTATTGAATCCTTTACTTGGTGTGTAATGGTGCACAAAAACCATGATTTGGTTTGTAGCTCCGTTTCGAGGTCCTGGTTTGGCACATTGTCAGCACATCAAATATCTTCTTTTTTTTGTTATAAACCTCTGGTTTACTTGGCAGACTACAGCTGTGTGTGTGTGTGTGTGTGTGTTTTTAAGTCTCTAAATACTGCTGCAACTGGCTGCAACCTACTAATTAAAAAAGTAAAATTTACCAAATAGGCAGCAACTTGTCAAGTGTGTAACAAGGATTAAAAAGTCCACTGACATTGCTGCATTTTCCAGAAGACATTAGTGGGCTTAATAGTTTTTTTTATTTTTTTGCTTACAGTGAGCTTTCTGCAGCGATAGATGACTAGAAGTTCAGTAAATTCACATAATTTGTTAGTTTAGCCATATTTGTTATGTAGGTTTATTGCATAAATTCTAACCAATACATAGGCAGGATGAGACATGATGTTAAAAGCTGTTCCCCCTTAAAATAACCTTGTTTGTTTGAGTAAAGGTGCATTTATGTCTCCAGTAAAACAATGTATTAACCATCACTGTTGCAAGTCTTTTTATAAACCTAATGGTGAAGGTGTCAGTTAATATCTAATAACCAATCAAATAGTTCTTGAGTACAAAAGTTCTGATCGCTTGGTAATATGTTTTAAATATTAACAACTATTTACAGACTGTGTTGGCTAAAATGCACAAGAACCTTTTTATGATAATTTGCTTCATGCTGACAAATTTTAAATGTGCAGTTGTTGGGATCAGTGTATATTATGGAAAATTATGGAAAATTAGAATGTGCCAGAAGCCTCCAAAATGAGGGCTTTTTACAGCCAAAGCGTTTCCCCAGCTGGTTGTTTTGTCCAACTGGGTGGTTCTCCGTGTCCTTCTAAAAGCCTGCGTGTTGCTATAGTTGTGCTTTGAATCTGGTGAATCGACTTTGGTAGAGATGCAGTTGAGAATTTCTAAAACAGACTCAATGACATCAGTGTTGCTGATTCAGTGTTATGTACCCTTGAGTTTAGACTTTTCCTTAAGCAGGAGTCAACATTTCAGATGTCACTCTGGCCTGGTGATGGGGACTGACAGACTTATTGTACTTTCATAGTTCTCTTAAGGGTTCTTTTTTCATAGAGCCCAAGACGTTCAGTCTGGGTCTCCATCTAGAAAACAGTGTTGTCAAAAGTGTTCATAAACCAATTTTTAATGTGTGTGTGTATGTAATTTAAGTGACAGTAAGTAAGTGAACATGTGGTGATGATGTTTATCAGTGTGTGGATCCTTCACCCTTTTGTGTGGCTGTGCGCACGGCCATCACAGCTCCAGACCAACGTTTTACATTTGTTGCACTGGTGTGTCGAACTTTTTCATTTATGTGCGTCAGCATATGATTTAGATGCATCGTAAATATGCTGAATATTAAGTGTAACCAGAGGGCTTCTGCTACAGAAGCTACCGTGATACACCACGAAGTGATCTCAGTTTATTGTGATAAAAAACAAACAGACAGAGCTGACAGTGTGGGTGATCAGTGGATGGGTGGACTTTATCGCTGACTGGTCAACAGTTCATTCACAATTACTGAGGACTATTAGCCTCCTCCTCCCAAATGAAACAATCCGCTGACACCTCCCCAAACCAAAAGTGACCCGACACCCCACATGATTGTTCTCACATGTAGTATCGGTATCGCCATTGTTTACAACCATAATATTAGATGTGATTGGATAACACTGTGTGACAGCAGGAAACAGCCGGATCACTGCATGCTGGCAAATAAAAGTACCATTACCAAAATGTAATAACAGCAAAAAGTGCATTAAAGGCATTAAAACATCTGAGAGATACATTTTGTAAATAACTCTTGTCTCTAATAAGGCAAATAGGTACAAAAAAATGACATGAATAAATGTCACTGCGCTCAGCTTGCACACAAAATATGGTAAAGCTTCAACACAGCACAACACAAGACAAACCTACAGGCCAGCGAGCAGAGAGGAGGAAATATTACAGAGACTCACAACACATGGTCCCCGATCTGCAATGTAATACAGCATGCATCTGTCAAAGAATTACCACTACATTTTTGTTTTGAATACCCATACCCACCTGACCCCTGAGCAGAGCCAGTCTGTAAAGAAATGCATTATTTAATCAACCAAACAGTAATGAGTAAATACACCTTGAAATTACACACACAGAGTTTATTCACAGCGCACAAAGGTATGTGTTGTGTTCCAGTTAGGTCTATATTGGTCTATTTACACATGAAAATTGATTTTCACACTGGACATATTAAATGGAGGAGAAAGGAAAGAAAAGGGAAAGAAATGTCTCTCTGTAGGGAAAAAAAAACTACTTTAAAATACAAGGACGTGGGATTTAATTTGAAGTAGGAGCAGCGAGTTCACTGAAAAACACGAAGTCATTTAAATTACTCACATATTCTCCAGACAGGTAACGCTAAAATCACTCCACTTCCCTCAGCGACATAATTGGCTAAAAAACATTTGTTTACAGCAATTAGTTTGTCAGCATGTAACACAGAAAACGAGAAAAATAGTTTGCATTCTGTGTAATTTCCCAGCTAGCCATGGAAAGTTGTTGTTGCAAATGCAGAGCAAATGTTTGTCATTGTCATGGCTTGCATGGTTAAATGCTGCGTGCTTGTGTTCTGTCAGGTGAACGACGACCAGATGGAGAAGGCTCACAAGACGTTTCCTCACAACCCCCCGCTCACCAAAGAGGCCTACTACTACAGACAGGTGTTTGAGAAGCAGTACCCCGGCCGAGCGGAGTGGCTCTCCCATTTCTGGATGCCGCGCTGGATCAACGCCACCGACCCATCGGCCCGGACCCTGTCCATCTATAAACCTGATAAAGAGTAGTGATTGGCTGAACAGCTGAGTGCCTGTGTCTGTCTGCCTGTCTGTCAGCAGTGTGCTGGCCACTTGTACATGTGTCATATTTAACTTTACTCCCAGGTTTTTTTTTTTTTTAAATTAGCGGCCTTATGCTGTGTCAGTGGTTCTCAAATGTTTTCTGTCAGGCCCCCCCCCCTCGCCTTAAATAGTCATGAAATGAGCCAGTTTAAATTTACTGAAACTAAATATCATGAGCAGTCAAATAGTGCAGCAACAACTTGCTCAGTGACCAGTAGAAGTACCAGGGGGAGGATAGCCTTCAATTTAGTGGTGGTTGTCTCATCAGTCATTGTTGACACCATATCAAGAGCAGTGGGGAGTTGGAGGTCCTCAGCTGGTGGATGGTGATTCTGTTACAGGGCTCCAGACTAACTTTCCACTGGTGCTACCAACTGTCTTCATTGGTTGCACCAGTTAATGATCTGGTTGCCCCCTTTATTTTGTTACATCAGCATTGCCACAGCTATTAATCCACCATGCAGCTGATGAATAGTTGTTTTTGCATAACTCAGTGATACAAGACTAGATATTTGTGAACTGTTTTAACATTAAAATATATTTATTTTGTCACCAATCCTCTTCTAATACCAGTCATTAACTGGACACAGGCTAAACACTTGCTGAAAGTGGCCGTGGGTAGATGGTGCATTTTACCGATGTTCCCTAAACGCCTCACACGCTGCTCCGGTAGATGCTAACAGGTGTGTTCAGTGCAGCTCCTCTGACAGGTGAGCGACCAAACATTTGTTGGAAAACAGCTGAAAGCGTGTTCTACACTAATTTGCCCAAGTTGAAAAGTTTTCTATAAGCAGAGTTTTTAGCAGTTTTTTTTTAATGAACGGACTTTTCTACGAACTGAGCGCATTTTAAATGTCCAGACCACTGACCATCATGTTTCTAGAAAAACTGGTTGTAATCCAGATTGTCCGACAGGCCAGTGTCATCTTTTTCGTCACGTCTTTACTCGTCGGTTGATAATGAACAGATTTTGTTTTAGTTTTTGTTGTCAGTCTTTCTTAAATTGACATTCTACGGAAGCCGAGAGCGGTCGTTTTCCGCTACTGTTCTTTCTTCGCCGTTTTCTCGAGATAACGAGTTAATTTTCTCGTTATCTCGAGATAACAAGAATCGTTTTCTCGTTAAAACGAGATAATTGGTGTTTGT